CTTTCAGTCAGCATGTTTCTTTCGCATGTAATTCTGTAGCATGGCTTCGTTTAGTTGGGGATCTTCAGCAAGGACTCCTGTGGTATGGACTACTGTGCAATGATCTGTTTCGTGCAGGCAAATTGGGCAATTGTGTAGGAGAGATTCCTTAAGGGCGTATTCATGTGGTGCTGTTTCCTGCGGAAGGGATTCCGTCCGCAAGGATTTTTGTTCCCAAGCAAATTGCTGAACGGGGTGCCGTTGTGATGGAAGCTCGTTCCGCCCGAGGAGCGACGCAGCTGAGTCATCCTCCAATAAATTTGGTGGTCCGGGCCGCTTCGACCGAGACATCCTTACAACTCTAGTTTGAATGAGTTGGCCAGGATTGGGCGCTGCGCTTGAGACATCCTCCCAATTCTGAGCTCCGAGACCGCGCGAGGTGGTCTGGCGCGTTTCGCCAGAGACATCCCCGCAACTCTGCGATCCGAGCCGCCGCGCGCGATGTGGTCTGGCGCGTTGCGCCTGAGACATCCTCCCAATTCTGAGCTCCGAGACGCCGCGCGCGAGGTGGTCTGGTGCGTTTCGCTTGAGACATTCTCGCAAACTTGAGCTCCGAGCTGCCGCGCGCGAGGTGGTCTGGCCCGTTTCGCTTAAGACATCCTTCCAAGTCTGAGCTCCGAGATGCCGCGCGCAAGGTGGTCCGGTGCGTTTCGCTTGAGACATTCTCGCAAACTTGAGCTCCGAGCTGCCGCGCGCGAGGTGGTCTGGCCCGTTTCGCTTAAGACATCCTTCCAAGTCTGAGCTCCGAGATGCCGCGCGCGAGGTGGTCTGGCCCGTTTCGCTCGAGACATTCTCACAGTTCTGAGGTCCGACATGCCGCGCGAGAGGTGTTCCAGCGCGTTTCGCTTGAGAAGTCCTCGCGACTCTAAGCTCCGAGATGCCGCGCCAGAGGTGGTCTGGCCCGTTTCGCTTAAGACATCCTTCCAATCCTGAGGTTCGAGATGCCGCGCGAGAGGTGGTCCTGCGCGTTTCGCTTGAGACGTCCTCGCAACTCTCGGCTCCGAGACGCTGCGCGCGAGGTGGTTCAGCTCGTTTCGCCTGAGACATCCTTACAACTTTGAGCTCTGAGAATACGTACGCAAGGTTGTGTGGCCCGTTTCGCCTTAGACATCCTCGCAACTCTGGGCTCTGAGATGCCGCGGGCGGCCTGGCCCCTTTCGCCTGCGACATTCTCGAAATTTTGATTCCGTACTCCGAGAGGAAGGAGAAAGGAAGAAGGAGGGGTCAGACCCAAACGAATCCTTTGATTACACGTCTGTTGTCGAATTGTGCTCTGGGAGGGGTCTGGGCGTCGCCTGAGGCATCCTCGCAACTCTGAGCTCCCAGATATCACCCGCGAGGTGGTCTAGCCCATTCCGCCTGAGACATACTGACACTTCGGTGCTCCGAGATGCTTCGCGCGAGGTGGTCCAGCCCGTTTCGCCTGAGACATCCTCGCAACTCCAGGCTCTTTGATGCTGCGCGCGAGGTGATCCAGCTCGTTTCGCCTGAGACATCCTCGCAACTCCAGGCTCCTTGAAGATGTGTGCGAAGTGTTCCAGCTCGTTTCGCTTGAGACATCCTCGCAACTCCGGGCTCCTCGAAGATGTTCGCGAGGTTGCCCAGCTTTTTTCGCCTGAGACATCCTCGCGACTGGGCTCCGAGATGCCGCCCCAGAGGTGGACTGGCCCGTTTCGCCTGAGACATCCTCGAAACTTTGGCCTCCCAGAGGAAGGGTCAGACCCACACGAACCATTTGATATCATATCTCTGTTGTCGAATTGCGCTCTTGGGGGGTCTGGGGGAGGTCCGGGGGCCCCCTGGCCCGACGGAGGAGGTGGCCGGCGCCGCGGCGCGAGCACGACTCCCTGGTAAACTGCAAGGGCCGATCGGGGGGAGCCCTGCTGGCGCAACTCGTGGAGATGCCTCGGGCGAGAGCGCGGCGAAAGATCGGTGCGGCCCCCTGGTGGCCCCGCGCTCCCAGCGCCACCACCAGCACGACCACCAGCACGACCACGAGCGCAAGCATCTGCACGACCACCCGCCGGCACCATCGCCAGCACGACCACCAGTATGACCAGCAGCACTACCACCAGCACAACCACCAGCACGACTTCCAGCACGCACACCAGCACGACTATGAGCACGACCACCAACGCAAGTGCAAACCATGGCACGTGATATGTTATACGCAAACCAGCCGTAATATACCCCTTCAAACCACAACATGCCCAACCCCCTTAAAACCGTCAAGTTCACGACACACGAACATGAAAACAGACCCCACCCTGGAGCCATCAAGTTCACGAGCACTCCACGTTCACCGTGGTGGGATACGCTTCAGCGCTCCTGCGCGAAGGATGAGGATGAGGGACAAGATGTTGTGGCGAAGCGAAGCGAACCAACACAATCTCGTATCTCGCATCTGGTTATTTATACACCTGGATATCAAATACTAGTAGTGATACTAACAATGCTCATAATAACATTGGTAACAGTCGCAATAGTAGTAGTAGTAGTAGTAGTAGTCGTAGTAGTAGTAGTAGTAGTAGTAGTAGTAGTAGTAGTAGTAGTAGTAGTAGTAGTAGTAGTAGTAGTAGTAGTAGTAGTAGTAGTAGTAGTAGTAGTAGTAGTAGTAGTAGTAGTAGTAGTAGTAGTAGTAGTAGTAGTAGTAGTAGTAGTAGTAGTAGTAGTAGTAGTAGGTAGTAGTAGTAGTAGTAGTAGTAGTCGTAGTAGTAGTAGTCGTAGTAGTAGTAGTAGTAGTAGTAGTAGTAGTAGTAGTAGTAGTCGTAGTAGTAGTAGTAGTAGTAGTAGTAGTAGTAGTAGTAGTAGTAGTAGTAGTAGTAGTAGTAGTAGTAGTAGTAGTAGTAGTAGTAGTAGTAGTAGTAGTAATAGTAGTAGTAGTAGTAGTAGTAGTTGCAGTAGTAGTAGTAGTAGTAGTAGTAGTAATAATAATAAAAACAATAATGATAATACGAATAATAATATAAATAATACCGCCCCCCCAGTCCCGGTCCCACACATCCCCGTGACATCTCGGGGACGCTCCCGGTACCGCTCCCCCGGCCTTTCCGGGGAGCCTCCACAGCGCCGCAGGAGAGTCCAAGACGCTTCCCAGGAGCCCCCAGAATGCGAAAGGATGGTCCAAGACGCTCCCAAGCAGCCCAAGTCAGCCTTCCGACGGCTCTCGAAGCTCCCAGGTGGCCTCCAAGAGACCCCACGAGAGGTCCGAGAGGCGTCCCGGGACGGCCCGAAGAGGCCCAAATCGTCGATGTTCATTGTTTTTCAATGTTTTTAGCTTCTCGCGTTTTCGAGCTTCCAATGGTCGAAGAGCGCCAAAGAGGCTCCCAAGACCGCCCCACGACCACGCAAGATACCCTCAGGACGGCCCCAAGACGGGCCAAGAAGGCTCCAAGACTGCCGAAGAAACGCCCAGGACAGCCCCAGACCACCCCAGAACAGGCCCAAGATGGGCCCAAGAGCGGGAGCAGGAGGCTTCCAGACACCTCCGAGAGGCCTCCGGGACCCCCCAGAGGCCCGCAACACACCCCCGATCCTTGAGAGGCCCCAAAAAGACCCCGACGAGGCTCCAAGAATAGCCCAAGAGAGCTGCGAGAGCCGTCCCGAGAGAGCCCAAAGAGGGTGAAATCGTTGGTTTCCAAAGGTTTTTCTAATGTTTTTCGCCTTCTCACGTTTTCCCGCTTCCAACCCTCGAAGATCGAGGATTTTGAAAACAAAAACATGGAATTCCCAGAATTCCCTTTTCGTTCCAGAATGGGACTTCTCCTCGGAGATCCCACACATCCCCTGACATCTGGCCGGTACAGCGCCTCCCGGCTTCCTGGGGGGCCCCCAAGACGCCCAAGGACAGCCCAAGACGACCCTAAGGAGCCACCAGAACGGAAAGAACGGCCCAACAACCTCCCGTGCAGCCCGAGACACCCTTCGGACGGCTCTCCAGGCCTCCAGGAGGCCTCTAGGACCCCCCGGGGGTCCGGAAGATCCCACACCCCTGAGGGGTGCGGCTAACAAAACCCGCGAGGCACAAACAAAAAACAGCGCCGAACAGCGCCGAGGGACTGGAAAAAAATGTGAATCCCACAATTCCTCTTTTTTTCAAGTTTGGCCCCCGGTCTACTCTTGCACAACAGACCACAATTCAGACCCCCCTCGCCTCCCAAAAAGAACCCAGGAAGCCTTTGAGAGCCCCAAATCGTTGAATACCTAGAAGGAAATCAATGATTTCTGCGTTTCCGCATTTCCCCTTCTATACGATTCCGAGACTTGCGCAGGGCCTCCAAGGGAGTCCCTGCACGCAAGAAGCGACCAAAATGATACTACATGAGTTAATTAGCCTATCAAGCCTAGCTAGAACTTGAGCGCGAGCGAAACGCGCGATGGTTCTAGTGTAAGTATGTATGTATGTATATACATATGGATAAGACTGCATTGGCGCTGCGCGCCATGCACCTTTGGCCTTTGAGTTTCGGCCGCAGGCGGCGTGCACATTCGTCCTTGATGCGCGCAGGTGCGTGCGTGAACGTTATGCGCATGTATGAATGTGTGTATGCCTGTATGTATGTACGTTCGTACGTACGTATGTATATATGTATGTACGTATGTATGTATATATGTATGTATGTATGTGTGTACGTACGTATGTATTTGTATATGTATGTATGCATGCATGCATGCATACAATGTATGTTTACGTGTGCGTATGTATGTTGGCGCACATGCACCCACCTGTATGTATACATCTATGTATACATATATATATATATATACACATGCACAGTTATGAACGCCGAACTATGGGCGCGCACACATGTGCACCACGTCTAATTGTATATGTCTACGCGTGCACATGCGCGTGGTGTAGGTATACACATGTGCATTCGCGTGCACGCGCCTGCGCGCGCGGGGAATCGCTGCGGGCCCTCTGCGAGATCTGGTGGGGCTCTTGGAAACTCTATGGGCTTCCTTGGGGCCTCTGGGCATACTCTTGGGGCGTCTTCGGGGCCTCATGAGAGCCTCCTGGGGCCTCGTGGGGCTGTCGAGGGAATGTCTGGAGGGCCTCCGGGGCCAGCTCGGGGCCCTCGTGAAGTCCGTCGGGCCGTCTTAGGGCGATCTGGGGGGGCCTCGTAGGCCGTATTGGAGCCTCGGGAAGCGGAAAAGGGAAGCGGAAAAGCATGGAAAATCAACGAATTGTGCCTCGTGGGGCTTTCTTGGGAGTGCTCTTGGATGCCTCGTGGGAGGTTTTGGAGCGATCTTTGGAGGTATAACAGCTTCTTTTGGCTGTCCAGGGTCGTTTCGGAGGCACGCCGGAGCGCCTGGACTGGTCTGGGGCCGTCTTCGGGTTTGTGTGGGGTGCTCCCGAGAAGCCAAGGGTGGGTGAAACGCGTTTGGTGGGGGGAGGGGATGCGCTTTTTCCAGGGTCCCCGGCCGTCCCAGGAGTGGCTGGAGGCCCTCCTGGGCCGCTTTGGGGCCTCGTGGAAGTTTGTCGGGCCGTCTTACGGCGCTTGGGGGTCCTTGTGGGCCGTCTTGGAGCCTCGGGAAGCCGAAAAAGGAAGAACCCCGAAATTCACCAAATACCATTTCAAAGCAGTGAATTTTGGCTTTTGGGTCTTGCTTGGGAGTGGTCTCGGTGGCCTCGTGGGATTTAGTCGAGCAATCTTTGGGGATATGACAGCTTCGCTGGGTTGTCTTAAGTGTCTGGGGTCGTCTTGGGGGCGCGCCGGAGCGCCTGGAGCGGTCTGGGGCCGTCTTCGGGCTCTCGTGGGGTGCTCCCGAGAGGCCGCCCGATGGGGGTCAAATTCGTTGGGGGGGGGGGCTTTTCCAGGGTCCACGGCCCTATAAAAATAGAGAGGCAATCAAAAGCAGGTGCGACCATAAAAGAACGACTCCATCCCTGGATATCGTGGGCCCCTCCGCGCCGCTACCTGGCAGCCGATCTCCTCCCCCCCCCCCGAGGAGCAGCTCGAGTGGTTCGAAGCAGAAAAAGGGGACAGACAAGAGCGCGGCCAAGAAGCGCGGCGTCCTCAGTGGCGGCGCCCGTCTCCAACCCCTTGCCTTGCAGGTTGTGAGCGGCGACCGTGCTTGCAGTGAGGGGGCCTTCCCTCGGCATCTTCACATCCCCTTTTCTTTCTATCCTGGGCCTGCCGTGGCACAGTCGTGAAGCCACAGGGCTGCAGCCACGCTGAGCTGTGCTGAGCTCCAGCTCTCCTTTCACTAAGCTCTCACCTGGCCCGCCCACCCTAACCCAACAGCTAATTGCCCCTGTGAAGCCGATAGCGCAGGTCTGGAAACTTGCGCGGGCGGCCCGCCCACGCAAAGCCGGAACCAGTTGCATCTGTTTAGGACATGGAAGTCACCGCGCTCCGCGAATGCTTCCGAACGACACCATCAATAGCCTTTGGTACCGTCAGCAGGTCTCAGCGGGGATCGACACCTTCCGCACAGCACATACACGGGGAGCTGCGCATTCTCGGGGGTTGCTAAAGGTGCCCCTGGTCCAAGGTGTCCCCAGCTTTCGCTCCATTTTGGAGCCCCTGGGGCTCTCTGGGCCTCGTGGGTGGTGCTCTGAAGGCCGTGGGGGCCCCCTTGGAAAGCCTGGGGGCACCTTGGGCCAGGGGCACTTCTGGCAACACCCGATTCACAGAGCCTGCGTGCACCCTGTGGTGGAGGGAGGTTTCGAGAGAGCCAGGGCTTCCGCCGCAGTTTCCCTGAGATTCCTCCTGCGACGCTGGGTCGCTCCCCCGAGAACATGGCACAAGCCTCCCCGCAGCAGGTGCTGCACTGAGGTAACAACACCGCACCCCCTCCTCGTCCTCCTCGTCCTCCTCGTCCTCCTCTTCCTCTGCTCCCCTCCTCCTCTCCTCCTCCTCCCTCCTCCTCGTCCTCCTCCTCCTCCTCCTCCTCCTCCTCCTCCTCCTCCCTCCTCCTCCTCCTCCTCCTCCTCCTCCTCCTCCTCCTCCTCCTCCTCCTCCTCGTTGGCGAACATGCCTGGCCTGGTCGCGGCGGGCGGGAGCGAGGGGCCCCTGGCCTCGTCGCGAAGGGCAGGCAGCACCGCGGGCCCACGGGGGCGGCCCCAGCCCGAGGGCAGGATGGGGGAGGGGGCGAGACATACATAGTACTGGCAGGCGTGCGACGAAGTCGGCGACGAAGCCACTCGAAGCGGGCCACGCCTGCCAGGCACGGCGAACTTTCGCGCGTGCCAGGGTCTCTCTCGTGATGTGGGGTCTCGCCGGCGCGAGTCCACGGCAAGGCTCGCGCGTGCTGGCTGGGCGAGCAGTGGGCGCTGCGTCCAGAGAAGTGCTGGTGTTCTCGTCTCTTTTCCCGCGCGTGGAGTGCTTCTCTTCGGATCAGGGCGAGTGCGTTGGGCGTGGCCCAGGGATCCCTAGAAACAAGCACCACATTCTTGGAGGGGGTGCGATTCTCCCGGTGGGGCCCGACTGTGGCGGTCCGCGGCGTCGCGAGGGGCCCAGGAGGGTGGGCGGCCCAGGGGCGGAGGGGGCTCTGGCTCTGGCTCCGAGGAGGGAGGAGGAGGAGGAGGAGGAAGGAGAAGGAGGAGAAGGAGAAGGAGGAGAAGGAGGAGGAGGAGGAGGAGGAGGAGGGAGGAGGGAGGGAGGAGGGAGGAGGAGAAGGACCCGACGACGCCTCTGGCTCCGAGGAAGCGCAGGCACAGGTGAAGGCCCGTGGCTTGGCGGCGGGCCCCGCGGGCCGGCCGCTTCTGCGCGGGCGTCCCGCCAAGTGCACTCTTGCCAGGCGTTTCGCTCGGCCTTGCCTGGAAGGTCGCGGTCTGGCCCCCAGCGGCTTCGTGTTGCTGCCCCATCGTGCCGGCGCAGTTCCTCCTCCCCTCCTCTCTTCGTCGCCTCCTTCGTGGGCTCTTCTCTCCCCCTTCTCTTTATACGTATCTGTATATACATATATATATACATATATATATATATATGAAACGATTTGAGGTCTCACCCTCCCTGTAGCATCGTTCGCTCGCGCACGTGGCGTAGCTCCTCCGCCTAGGCATGAGGGTTTGCTCTGGCTCATCTGCTTTCCGCTCACTTGGGTCCTCTGTGCGGGTACCCTCTCCGGCATTGTCCGTGGAAACAGGTCTACGCACCCATGAGTTTTAGTTTACAAGTGCCCGCTGGTTTCTCTCCTCCTCCTCCTCCTCCTCCTCCTCCTCCTCCTCCTCCTCTTCCTCTCCTGCCCTCCCCCCGCTCGCGTTGGGCACCTGTGCGGGTCCGGCCGTCTTCACCAGTAAGGGGCACGCACGCGCGAGTTCCCTCTTGTGGCGTGCGTAGCCGCACGTACTCCGGTCGCTGGACTGGGCCGCCGTGCGGGCGCAGAAAGGAAGGATCAGCGACGGGCCCCCGCTTCCGCTTCCTTGCGCAGAATCGGCGCGCTCCAGCTCCAGGTCGGGGGCCTTCCCTGATCCGTGGATCTGGCGCCCGCGCGCCAAATCCACGGATCCCGAATCTGTGTCGGCGTGTGCCCGATGGGTCTGGGCCGCGCTGAGCACTCGCTGCGAGAAGGCGCGCGCGGCGGGCTCTCAGACATCGGCCCGAGGAGGTTCGAGCCAGCCGAGGCGAGGGGAGGGGAGGAGGGAAAGCGTGGGGGATGGAGGGAGGAGGGGAGGAGGAGGAGGAGGAGGAGGAGGAGGAGGAGGAGGAGGAGGAGGAGGAGGAGGCGGAGAGAAGGGCGTGGCTCGCAGCCGGCGCTGCTGCTGCTTTGGGAGCTTCCGGGGGGCCGAAGGCGGGGCGAGGGGCCTCGAGGCAGGCAGCGGGTCGGGCCTCTGTCTGGGGTCGCTTCGGCAGTGGCTCGCCCCAGGGAGTGGTGGCGAGGAGGGGCTCCTCCTCCTCCTCCTCCTCCCTCCCTCCTCCTCCTCCCTCCCTCCTCCTCCTCCCTCCTCCTCCCTCCTCCTCCTCCCCCTCCTCCTCCTCCTCCCTCCTCCTCCTCCTCCTCCTCCTCCTCCTCCGTCGATTATGCCAGGGCGCGGAAAGCAGCCCTGGCTTCTCAGGAGCAGGAGGAGCAGCAGGATCAGAAGCAGGGGGGGCAAAAAAGCGGAGAGAGGATGGGCAGGAGGAAGTGCGGAGAGTGTGCGGGGGCGAGGCGGAAGCGTGAGTGGAGGCAGGAGGTTTGGTTGGAGTTACACGTCCGCAAGTGCTTGCGCGGATGAACTCATGGAAGCGCAGGCTCGAAAGGCAAGCCGCCGGGGCCGGTCACACTTTAAGAACTTAAGAACGCTCATGCGCGGGCCACCCAAGGAAGTCGCCTGAAGAGAAGGAACAAAGGAGGAGGAGGAGGAGGAGGAGGAGGAGGAGGAGGAGGAGGAGGAGGGGGAGGGGGAGGAGGAGGAGGAGGAGGAGGAGGAGGAGGAGGAGGAGGAGGAACGAGGAGGAGGAGGAGGAGGAGAGGAGGAGGAGGATAAGGATAATGACGAAGAGAGGAGCTCTCGAACAGCGGTCGGAGAGCGGCAGCTCGTGCCTCGAGCCCACGGTGAGGTACCCCCTCCACCAGGGCGCCTCGTCGTCTGCGCAGAGGAGGAGGAGGAGGAGGAGGAGGAGGAGGAGGAGGAGGAGGAGGAGGAAGAGGAAGAGGAGGGCTAGGAGGAGGAGGAGGAGGACCTTGAGGCGGCAGAGTGGGGCATCGGCCAGGCAGAGCGACCTGCTACCGCCAGTGGGGCGCTAGGACACGCCACGGGAGCAAGGGGGGATGGAGGGCAGAACGCGGGCGGGGCGGCGTGGTGCACTGCCGCTGTTCCGCGCCGGCTCTGGCGGTCGCGCGTCCAGACACCAGGCCAATCACCAGGGTGCTTTAAGAGTTGCAAGGGCTTGGGATGGGAAACGCAATCAGCCTTGCCTGACGCGTCATGGAACGTCGGGCTTCTCCGAACTAAGCTTTTGTGGGGGGGAAAAGCCGGGCTTTCCAGGATCACGGTGCCAAGTACGCCAATCGCATTCTGGAGCGCTTGTTGCAACAGGGCAGCCTGTGGTGATCAAAGCCGTTTTGGACGAGGTTATCTGACAGAAACGGGTGCCTCGTCGAGGATGCATGTGGCGTGGTGTATCCCAACAGAGCCAGCACACCCGCTGGGGTAGCATCAGGGCTCCAGGATTTATGGGTCGCGGACGCCAGTCTCGCTCTCGAGCGTGTGCCGCGTAGAGACAGCATGGAACGCCCAGCCGCCTTCGGCGAGGCCTGGGATGGCGACTTGTGAGCAAACAGCGCGACAGGGACCTACTGGTTCATGCGCCCCGTGGAAGCCCAGACGGAAACGTTGCAGAGCATGTCAGGTTCGAGGGTCATGCACGCCGAGCGAGGCGGCCCGCAGTAGCGTGGTATCGTCCATTGCACCCAGAGCAGGGCGCAGAAAACCGACTCGGGCAGGGCCCCCTCCCAGCCGCACGCCCGCCCCCCAACCCGGGGCGCTGGGCAGGGGAGAGGGGAGGAGGGGGAGGAGGGAAGAAGAGAGGGGTGGAGGAGGAGAAAAGAAAGCTTCACTACCAAAACATCGGAGCCCCACTCGCCCCGATGCCAACAGTTCAAGGGCACTATGAGAAACACGGTTCAGGCAGGACAGTGGATACGGCCCAAACGCAATCACTTCAATCGACGGGGCCGTTACAGGCGCATCAACACACCCTCCTGCTCGTGCCAGACGCTTGCGAACACGACCACCCCGCCCGCCCAACACAGAGCACCCACGCGACCACAAGCCCCCGCCTAACACGCCCGCGTACGCACATGCTTTGTTATTGCGCAGGGGGATGCCGCAGCCCCCCGGTGCCTCCGCCCCTATCCCGTGCTGGCGGTGGCACGTTCCCCTGGAGTACAAGACCCCGCACAAGAGGAGCCAGTGTAAGACCGACCCTCTGCTCCAGCGTGAGGCCAGAAGGCGTGCGGCGCTGAGGCGGGAGCCGCATTTAGAAAACCATCCCCCATCCATCTGAGTATCTGTTGCAAGTTCAAGCTTCAGGATCATAAAATGGTGAGGACATCTCCAGCGAAACGCCCAGCCATTCCTACC